GATGTGGGCCATCCACTTAATGCAAAATCTCTTACACGAGCTAAGACGGGATCCTTAGCAGTTTGTCTAGCTACATCTTGGGCAGATACTGGAGATTCTTCCACACACTCAAACATCAGGACATCCGCGCATCTCGGAACATCTTCTCGAGTTGTCGGTAGCGGAAGCCTACACAAGGCATCAGCATGTGGAATTTTCTTACCCGCTACATGGACCAAATTGTAATCGTATGCGCTCAAATTGTACCTCCAGCGCAGCATGCGAGGCGATATTTCGTTTGGGCAATGCTTATTCTCTCCCAGGATTCCCAGCAAGGGCTTATGGTCTGTTCGAATTTCAACCTTCCGTCCGAATATGTAGTTGTGGAATTTCGTAACTCCCACCATGATGGCTAACGCTTCTTTATCCACCTGGGCAAAGTTTCTTTCCGGCTTTGACAACGTACGGCTATGGAATGCGATGGGCGCCTCCCTTCCGTTTTCCTGCGGCTGACTGAGAACCATGCCTACTCCAAACGAACTCGCATCTACGGTTAAGATTAGTTTCCTACCTTCATGGTAATGGCATAAAATGGGTTTTTTCGTTAATAGCGACTTAACACGCCCAAATGCCTGTGCTTCGTCTCTTCCCCATCTAAATGTTACATTTTTATGCAGTAACTTATGCAGTGGCTCCGCTATTGTTGCTTTCGATTCGAGGAATGGCCCATAGAAATTGACCAATCCCAAGAAGGCTTGCAGTTCCGTAACATTACTTGGGGCCGGTGCTCGAATGATCGCTTGAATTTTTTCCTCTGCTGGCTCTAGTCCTCTGGAACTAATCTTATGACCCAGGAATTCGATTTCATGTACGTTGAATACACATTTTGCCTTCTTCAGCTTAAGGCCGTCTTCTCTAAATCTGGTCAGAACTTCCCGCAATCGTCCTAACAGCTGTGCCTCATCCTTAGCAACCACCAGAATGTCGTCAAAATAGGGCATGACCCCTGGTATGCCTTGCAGCCTCTGATCTATTAGCTGCTGAAAGATTTGTGGTGCATTGCTAATCCCAAATTGCAAACGTTTCACCCGGAACGCCCCCTTATGTGTGATTATAGTTTGTGCCTCGGCGGCTTCGTCATCGACAGTCAGCTGTTGGTATGCCTGTGTCAAATCAAGTTTTGCGAAAACACGACCTCCAGCTAGGTTGGCCAGCATATCCTGCACGTTCGGAATGGGGTAGGTCTCTGGTCGCAACACCTTGTTCACAGTTATACGATAATCGGCGCACAACCGGATCTCATTCGATGCCTTAACCACCGGAACTATGGGCGTGGCCCATCTGGGGTGCGTCACAGGTTCAATAACTCCTTGCTGCTGTAGGCGATCCAGCTCATCCTCAATCAGAGGTCGTAATGCGAATGGGACCTTTCGTACCTTACACACAATGGGATTGACATCTCGTGGTAAATTGAGGCTAATTGGAGGGCCTCGGAACACGCCCAAAGTCCCGTCAAACACTTCCGCGAATTCGCTTTCTAGTTCAGTTTGAATCACGTTATTAAGTACCGCGTTGTGCACTTGGTTAATCCCAGACACATTAATGTTCAATGGCTCAAACCAGTTTCGCCCCAAAAGATTCACCACGCGCGTTCCCTTAATTACGATCACAGGAAGAGTTTTGTGCACGTTTTTGTATTCGACACGTACGTACCCCGTCCCCAGTGTCTCAATCATATTGCCCTGATAGTCCCGTAATATGATTGTGTTCCGTTCTAAGTTGGGCTTCCTTCGTAATGAATTGAAACAGCTGGCACTAATGACGGTATAAGCCGCGCCACTGTCGACTTCCAAACAGCATGCAGTACTATTAAGTAACAACTTAACTTGTAGCTTACCAGGATCTCCTGGGGATACTCTGTGAATAGAATACTCGGTTCCCTCTTCACTGTCACTCTCATTTTGTCGACCAGAATCGTTGTCAGACGCCACTGCTTTCACCTGCTCGGACCGCTTACTACCCCTGTTCCGTTTCTTCCTCAAACATGCCCTCTCGATATGCCCCATCTTTCCACAAAAACGGCACGCCGCTGTTTTAAACCTGCATGTTTCCGATGAATGCGATTCGTCACACCGAAAACATAACTTTGTCATTTCCTTCCGATTATCTATTTTCTTTAGAAAGCCCTCAGGAGTTCCTCGCAGGTCCGATACATTCCTTGCAGCTGCTTCGAATGCCAAAGCTGTTGCTTGCGCCACCTCCAAGGTAAGGGTTTCCTTTGCCAAGAGTCGCTGTTGCAGGGATTCCTCGGCCACTCCGCACACGATGCGGTCGCGGATCATGTCATTTAACACAGAGCCAAAATTGCAGCCCTCTCCCAGATTGCGTAGTGCGTTTATAAACTTCGCCATACCCTCCCCGGGTTGCTGGCGCCGCTGATGGAACTTGAACCGGCACACAATTTCTGACGGTTTCGGAGCAAAATGTGCCTTCAGTTTTTGCATGATCTCCGTATGTGGGGTTTCCCTTACTTGCTGTGGTTGCACCAGCGATCTTAAAATACTGTACGTGGTAGGACCGCAAATGCTTAGGAACGCAGCCCTTTTGTCGCCATCGGTGGTGATCCCGTTGGCCTCGAGGAAGAAGTCAACCCTTTCCGCGTAGGCGTCCCAATTTTCCGGGTGTTCCGTATCGAACGGTTCGACCATCCCGATGGTAGCCATTGCACTGTGTTATGTTTCAATCCTACCGACTGCGCCAATGTTATAAATATGCTACTTTAATAACTCAAAAAGATACACGAGAATTCCTCAAACAATACATGGTCATGCTCGAACACAACCTCACTTATTCTAGCGTCTCTGCCACTCCTGTCCAGTGGCGTACCGGCCAGCGTCTCCCGTGCGTACACAACACAAACCCCATCCGTTTTAACGGGAGCGGTAAAAACGCATAGTGTGACACCACACTTAGTTAGAAAAGGTGGTATCACAATTTGACAGATTATAGTGGAGACATCTACCGGTGCGCATTATGACAAATTGCCGATTAATCTTCGAATGATATCGCCTGAATATTACACCACTCGATTTAAAAAAATGAGCCATACCCAAGTGTATGTGGTTCATAGTATAGGTAAGTTATGATAATTTTTGACGAACAAGTATTTCGAAAACTTAATATTTGATTTTCTTCAATAGAAAGTAATAATTTCAAGTTACTTGATGATTACTTGATATAGGTACATACATATTGTAGAATTAAACTGCCCTATGTACTTGAAATAAAAAAATTTCATATGGTAGAATATATACATAGAATATACATTGAAGTGTATATTATCTAATCGTTCACCAAATGTATCAAATTCTTATCTCCCGCAGCTATATTGAAAAAGAGAAATAATACCCAACAATTGTTTATTATTGTGCCTCGCAACCAGTTCAATTCACTCATTGAGTTTTTAATTTTTTTTTTTGAAATTGTATCATTTCCTACCCTCATTCCCTTTCCTGCCCAAATTCATTTTAAAAAAAACAACAAACAATTTGACCCAAAATCGCCCTAAAACCTTCATTTTCATGCCTACTTTCTGTCCGGAAAGTTTAGTTTCCATGATAGAGGCAGAGCAAACTAAGTTTCCTACCGCTTGTCACTTTACCGGCTGCATCTGTGACATTGCTAAACGTCTATAATGACTCCTGTCATCACTGAGAGATCGACAGTAATCAACAGTTCTATATAGAAATTGAAATTTTGTAATAAAATACGATTTCGGGTAAAATTTAATACAAAACTCGTCAGTAAAATGACATTACTTGACTCGGAAATTAAAGTACTCGACCCGAAAGGGGCCTCGCACTTCAATGTTTCCTCGACTTTAATGTGTCATTTTCCGGACTTTTATGTAAAGAACTCTTACTTTATAATAATCAATCCTAGAGGACTTTCCTCTTATTTTGTGTTTGTCGCATTTTTCCCCTTTTATATCTAGCTTCCTCGACCACCAGAGAGCTATTTTCTAATTTTGGGGCACGGCTCCCTAACGGGAAGCAGAGGTTAGTGGCGACGCGCACAAACGTGTCATAGCTTCTTCGTGAGCAGTCGTGGTTAGGACCATTAGTCTTAATTTATTTTGTCTCCTTTTATTTTTGTCGCTGACCGCGTTACAGTGTAAAGAATTTCAAATAACAAACTGAATCATATTTTATTATGTGTATTTCAAGGAAACTAACTGGGGAAAATTCTTTATTTCTTGTTTTCATATTAGAGTTTTAGTTTATGAATCTACTCCAATTTAAGTTTACTTACTAATCAGTGCTTTAGGAATAAGATTTCTAAAAGTATAATATAAGTAGGTCAAGATTATTATAAAACTAAACGTTCGTCTAGTTGTAAAAGTGTTCAGGAACAGGACCTTCTGGGCAAATGCTACTTCAACCACTGTACTGTAACTAAATTGCATTTATTAATTATACTTTCAAATCAAATTATGTAGAGAAAACAAAGCATTAAGAATCCATTCATTAGAATAACATGAAGATTTTAACAAAATGACGGACTGTAAGTGTCAGCTGTACAAATAACACAGTTTAAAGATAACAATCTTTGGAACGCGTATAAAGAGCATAGAAAGAGTAATGGCCGATTACCACAAATCGGTGACGTTAAATTAGTGCACACTGAATTACATCGTGAAATCAATTTTTCTCGTTCAAAGAACGGTTTCCCGACTATCGCGTCGACGTCCTCCCAACAATAGTCTCAATTGACAATTCTATTATTTAAATTAGAGCTTGTAAATGACGTTGATGACGAATTTCAAATGAGTTTCCATCGCAACGCTTGGCGTTTGATTGGCGTTTCATTCCTATAAACTGAACCGGTGGTCGGACGAAAATCGGCGTTAGTGCATTAGTGTTTTAGAATTGTTTAAATTTTGATAATTCAATAAAGTTGGTTTCAGTGATATATCCAACAAGAAAATCCTTTCGGAAGTAATTTGAAAGTGGAAAACCTACCTGTAAGAGTTGTGGAAGAGTTTCCTTAGAGTATGCATCCAGCATCCCATTAGTCGCGTGTAGCTGTTGCACGTAAGCGTTGTGGTTATTGAAATATCCGCTGAGGCTTTCAGTTGTTGGCGTTGATAAATATGCGAGGTACGCTGCCTTATACTCCTGTCGACACTGTAACACAATATGGAAAACTTAATTAGGTACCTCTCGAGTATTTACGAAACAAAGTTTCGACGTTGTAGTTGTACTGTATTCGTATTGTGTTCTAGTATTCAATGGTTCTAGTCTAGCACACGGCATTATATGCTCTGTTTGGTAGGTTTTAATTTGGTAATTTTCCATATAACGACAATACCCAAAGATATTTAACCAAAGATAAACTGTCAGTGCATTTCATAAAACTTTCATTCGCTTTTTCTTCTGAGGAACATATCGAGAGACCAATGTAAATGAATGGTATGCTTAGATGAATTAGAGCGGATACTTTATCCTCGAGCTTGATCTCATTAGTACAAATAACAGTAAAGAAAATGAACGCTGTACGGAATAACAAAGGTGGTCTGGTTGTAAAGGTTATCCAGTATTAGCGTCGTTATTAGGGTCTTCAAAGCAGACTTAAAATCCCAATGTATCGCTGACTACACCCACGCTAAATCAGTTTTCTTTAAAACCATTCTATTAAAAACTGTCTCTTCATATGTAGGACCTTCTTGTAAGAGTAGTTTGCCTTTCGTCATTTATGTGTGTCCTTTAGTAATTTCCTTGGACGAGATCGAAGAATAAAATATTATAGAAACTAAAGGGTTAAGAGTTTCCACTTATGCATATTGTTGTGTAAACGTTATTTTGTCCCCCAGCATGTGTTGCAATTTCAATTTTTAAATGTAAATCTATGTACGACTAAACACAAAGTTGGTTTATTTTGCTTGAATTTGTATCTCAGTGTTTGTTTTTCCTTTTAGAAATGTTTGTAAATGCGTATTTCTTGTATAAATTTTATCGCTTTGTAATTGTTTAATTTAGATAGTGTGTTAATAAAATACATCTGGTCAAATTTGCGTGTTTTAAAGGTTCTTGCGATTTGGAGTTTTATTGTCAGGTGAAATTTAATTAACGCACGCGTTCTTTCGCTAGTGAGAGAATGAGGGTGGTACGAAAAATTGCACGTTTCATGTGGAGAAGTGCGGACATTTGGAGCGTTCCATCGTGGCTGGCCTTTATCCAATCTAATTATGATTGGCGATTTATTTGAAAATTCATAAAGAAGGAGCCGGTATTTTAATTTTAATTAATTGTGCAGAAGAAGTTATGCAACGTTACTAAAAAGTTTAAGATATTACATCATTATGTGAAGTAGGAAAAGTTCGTTAAGAAGCGTTTTGTCCGTTAACCCAAAAAGAGGTAGTTGAAGTGCGATTGAACAAAGCAAGTTGTTGCATCCTGAAGCCTACTTTTTTAAGGTTCTCTTTTCATTAAAAGTTAAAAGTTTTCTACCGTTCGGAAAACCGCCATATTTTGTCAATAAATCCAACAAGCTAGATTCATCTTTGCGGAATAAATTTTTGCTTTTGTCATTTAAACTGTGATTAATCGGACCCAAAGTGCGACCCAGATAGAGTTTTCATGTCAGATTTTTCTATTTGTGCCTAAGAATTATGTCATGTGTTAGTGAAAATTTGAGTAGTTAATTGTTTGGAATTTTTTTGTAGACGATCGAGGCTACCGAGTCTCCCAAATTATTGATTTAAAGTTAAAAGTGAGATTTTTGTGACAGAAGTCGGACGTCTACGAGGAACATATTTACAATTTTTAGTTTAAAGATTGTTTTGATTTGAGCGAGATGGACAGGTGTTTTGAGGGCGACCGTTGGTCATTGCACACACACCAATACGATTTATTATTTTTGTTGCGTTTTAAAACTATCATGTTTATACTCAAACTCCAACATAAAATTATTTTCTTCTGCTTATGATCTGATTGGGGAGAATGTACCGCTCTTAGCGAGCTACCTTGGATTCACTTTCTTTCATGATTTCGTCAGTGAAATTCAGAATATAAAAAATTCCTTCTTTTCTGTGAACCTCGGAAACTTCCTGCAATTATAAAATGCCCCTTTACAATTTGGTGCCTACTGGTGGCCGGGGGGGCAAGAGAGGTAAATAAACACAGGGCGAATATGGGATTATTAATAATGAATTATATAAATACAGGCTGATTCAGATTCGATGACCACCCCACGGGGACCTTGGAAACTGTAAGAGATAGATGGGTACCTAGTTTAAATTTGGCTAAGTTTTGACGCTTACAAAATACCGTTTAGAAACTGAAAAAATGCCAACTACTTTCGGAGATATCCCGAAAAATGAAATTTTGCAAACTCGTTTTTATTTTTATCAAAGTTATTTAAAAAGGATATTTCAAAATACATGACAGATTATTATGGCCACTTTTTCCCTCTGTAAGATGCTAGTTTTAAATTTTAAGTCTGATCTTTCGTCTCCGATTAACCATCATCAACTCAGTTTTTTTCTTATGGAAGCAATTTTGACTTTTTATGTCATTTGATAGAGAATTTTTTCTGATTTCAATCAAAGGAGATCGCACGAACGATTCGCGCAATGTAAACCAGTTATGCACTTTAGAGTCCATGGCAACCATTGTCTCAATAATCGTTTCCATGGATTTTAAGCCATGCTTAAGCTAAGATCCGCTTAAATTTGTCTGTGCAAACGGCCTTTAGTGTTTTAGGCGCGCATAATAATGAACAAAAATCAATGCGTTCAGTTAATAGAAAGATAAAAAATATCCTGTTGTGATATACGTTGGAAAAAACGTACCATAAGAAAAATGGCCTGTCAACGTGTAGTAATATTATCAAACCAAAAATTCAAATTCAAATTTTCACGTTATTTCAAATTAATTTACGTTAATTCAAATTAATTCACGTTAATTCAAAATTAATTCACGTTAATTCGAATTAATTCACGTTAATTCAAATTAATTCATGTTAATTCAAATTAATTCACATTAATTCACGTTAATTCAAATTATTTCACATTAATTCACGTTAATTCAAATTAATTCTCATTAATTCACGTTAATTCAAATTAAATCACATTAAGTCACGTTCATTCAAATTAATTCAAAGGGGTTCACCAAAAATTCAAAGTTGTTCCCCCCTAGAATATTATAATAGCTATTTATATACGAAGTACATAAACTGGGTCTTTACTTTATGGACGAGTCGGTTATGTGGCCGAGCGAGCTTGCGAGCGAGGCGCAAATAAACATGGCGAGTCCACACAAAGCCTATTATTTTATGGATGTGATATATACAAAGCTTTAAGTACGTATGCAACAACCCTTAAAAATGAAAATTTCATGGAATTCAATAAACAATTAAAATCTATACTTATATCATTAACAACAGTAGCACCGGCTGTGTAGGCTGGTACTCTTAAATATGACTGGGACCCGTAAAATAATAAAAGGGATAATCAGTTTAAACTTGAATGTAGCGGTATACTTATAATTGTTATGTTTTCTTTAGGTAATCGATTTCGGCCCTAGGCCATCTTCAGACCTAGCTGAAATGGAGCACTTCATCGATAAGGATAATCAGTTTTTTTGGGTAGTACTTGTCATATTATTGTATTGCTGAAAATATTTACTATTCTGTCTGTCTGTAATTTAAATCAATTTACACGAAAGAGGTGATTAAAATAATGGTGCTGCTTAGCACAATTTTTTGACAATATGGAATCCCAAATTCGAGATAATGTAATAAATTTAAGTTAGTAAACGCACGAAGCCTAAATTAATGAAGCGTCGCAACAATTAAGTCTCGAGCTTTGAGAGACAATTAAGAAAGAACTCTTCGTCGACGTAAGATTAACACTTTAGCTGTTTTGTATTCGATTAATTGAACAAAATAATAATTAACGAGATGCTCATTCGCCATTTTACACCCAAAAATAACTCATAAAGGCGCAATTACAATTAAATACGCTTTGCTTGTCTCACCTTTGCTAATTTCTCTTCAGTTTTCGTCACGATTGTTTCGTAACTTTCCCGATGACTAAAAACCTTCCTCGCTTGTATTTTCCTAAAAAATGAACGCTCTAACAGTGGCCTCGAAATTTGTCTACCCAAAATCGAGGCGATATCCCCTAACGCTTGCGAATCAATTTCGACCTCCTGCAGTAAAGTTTCCCACACATGAAAGAGGGAACTTGGGCACGCCGGTCTGCAATGTAAATTGTATACATTTTAATGAGGCTAACAAAGGATGGGCGCGCGTCCATTGTTAACGGAAAAACAATTAAAACTTTCCTTACCTTTCTTTCCGAAGCTCTAAATTTTTCTTTTTGAAGTTTGAGACGAGCAGCTGGAGCTCCTCCGCCTGTTGTTCGTAGATTTGTCCTAGTTGTTGAGTGAAATCAGATACTGAAACAAAAAGGCAAGCTTTAATACTATTGAACTAATTTTACTAAAAATCTTTTTATTTGCTACTAGTGGAGCACAATGAAGTGCTAAGAATGTCTAATTTATGTAAATATATTCTTTATTAGTCATTGGTTAGTAACCAAAACAAATAGGGGTATAAATTAAATTAGATATTTGACCTTTGCCACGTGAATACTGTGACGTTGTTGCCCTTAGCACCACATAATTGGCTTGTTTTCAAGTTAAGTTGGATATCTCACCCACTACACAAAGAAGAGGAATAAAATAAAAGTTTTTCTGGAAAAATTCAAACTTTTACGAAAACAAATAAGGTATAGGATTGCTGCTGACGTCCGGTAATTATTAGGCGAAAACACATAGTTATTCATTTCATCGAAATAGAAATCAGTATGGAACAAAAAACCGTTATTATACGTAGCCGAAGAATGTCTCCCAAGTTCGTTATCTTATCAACAATACCACTTGTTGTCGTTTTGTGGAATATATGCGCGCTTGGTCACGAGCCGAATTTATGTGTATGGTATCTTTGAAAAATAAGGCGCCAAACAAAATCTGGTTTATACACAGGGATTTTGTTTTAATCCTTTCACATGTTTCGGAATAAATGTTTGTGATTGTCGTTCAATTAATTATACTGTTTATTCGAATCCAAATTGCGACCCAGATAGTTTTCATGTCATTGGTGCCCGAGATTTATTTCAGGTGTTGATCAAAATCTGTGTAATATGTTTTTAGGAATTTTAGGAAATTGATCGGGGCCATCGGGTCTCAGAAACAGAAATTTTAGGATAATATTGGAATTTTTCTTCTTTTAATCTACCACTACCACTATAATAGCAGCGACTGCTGTCATTCGAAAATCGTCATTATTTGGCACAATAAATCATAAATGGCAGGTGTCTGTAAATTTGATTCAAATAAGGTTGCCGCTATAAAATTTCAACCAATCACAGAACACATTTCTTGGAATTTCTGGTACAAGAACATCTTTAGTGTCATAGAGAATAAAATCTGTATACAAATTCTGGCACAACAAACAGTATATGTAAATGTACAATATTATTTAAAGAAACGACAGAATCCGAAGAATATGATGCGACACCGAAGGAATAACATATCAATCCATATAGATAATCTGAAGATACTGCAGCATCGAAAGTAATCGTAAGTCCGAAAAACTAAAGAAACCAAAGAATCTGAAGCATTTGGAAAAATTTGAATAATCTGAAAAATTGTGTATACCACAGCATCCGGTATAATTTGATTTGATTAGAGTTCGAGATAAAGTGTCAGAGGTTTGGAGGACACACTTTGCACCCCTCCCGTACCACAAGCCACAAGACTCTGCAGCTATTCCAAGTTAATCAGTCTCTCATCGTTTGTGTTGAAAACGACAGATCTTGGAGAGAAGATGCTTTGATCGTCAGCTAAGATTCTAATCCTGGAATTGAAATCCAATCTAACGAAAATCTGGTTAAGTTTAGAAAAGTTATATGCAATTCACATATTATAAACTGGGAAAAAATCCTGACGCCGACAAACCTTGCTTTATGCACAGTTCGCGGAAGAAGCAGGATGTGAATCGTATAGATCAATAATTTGATATACATAATCGGAGTCCGTATAAGTCTCATTGCAGAAACGGTGACTGGCTCTTAGTCTTAGATTAATACAAAAAGGTAATTAGACACTCAATGTAATAATTTACTACTCGGAAATACCCTTGGCGACCGAAAGTACAGCAATGATTTCGGTCAATTTTATGACGCTAGGCCTGACGATGGGATGTAAGTACCCGAAATCGATCGCCATAGAAAAATTTAATAAAACTTTGTTCGGAATATACTTCATACTTTAATTAAAACCCACCGAACTCTAAAAAATGGAGCAATTCATTAACCATATACACCAATGATCTAACCTCCAGCGCCGTAGCCAGATTGATTACCAAGAGCGGGCCAATAAATCTACAGAGCGGGCGGGCGAAATAATAAATTTGCTGTATGCCGCACAAATACCACCCGCTGTACAACTTCGTTTTTCTTAGTATACGAGGTCAGGTAAAAAAGTTGTCGCATCTAACCACATTTTTGAAATGGTTTCAAACGAGGTTTTTAAAAAAATTGTGAAATTATTTGTATTTTTTGGGATCATTTGGACCTTTTTTAATCTGTAAAAATGTTTTTTGAATCTTTTGTTGAAAGTTTTTGAATCGCTTGAATCTTTTTTTAATACCCATGGAATGCTGTAGTTTGAAAAAGAATATTTAATATGCTGTTTGTTTACATTAAAACATACAGGGTGTTCCTTAAAGAAAATATGGTTAGGTCCGAGAACTTTTTTTTTTTTTTTTCAGTGATAAAGGCTTCGACTGCTTTTGGTCTTTCGCCTGATGTACCTCCTTCTAAGTTAAATCTTATTGAATATATCAATACTCTTTAAAAAAGAAATCAGTCGTTGAATACTGTTCTGATCGTCATGAAGGACTTCTTTCAAGTTTTTGGGCAATCCGTGCGTTTTCCGATCATTCTCGTATTCAGGACAACCCAAAAGAATGTGTTGCACTGTATATGGCTCGCCGCATCTACTACAATTTTTAATTTCACACCTTCCCAACATATGAAGGTGTGTGATATTGGTATGCCCAATACGTATTCTCGTATACACTACTTCCTCTCTTTTGCTCAAGCTATACCTGTTTATCCATGGTCTTGTGTGGCACTTTATTTTACTTAAAAAGTTATTGGAGTTCTTCCATTTTATTTCCCAATGGGTCACAATACTCTTTTTTAAATATGCTTTCCAGTCTGACGGTGGAATAACTGTAACATCGGTTTGTTTTTGCTGTGGTGAAATTTGTGCCGCTTCATCAGCTCTCACATTTCCATATATACCGACATGACCGGGAATCCATATTATTATAATTTTGAAATTTTGGGATTCTAAGTAGTATATGCGTTCTTTAATTACATTAACGAGCGGTTCGATTTTTACATGACGACTTACAATAGCGCTAGCTGAGTTAAGAGAGTCTGTGCATATTGCAATACGTTGTATGTCAAGGTATTCACAGATAAGAAGGCCCTGCCATATTGCATATAATTCTGCAGTGTACACACTTGCGGTAGGATGGTGGCACCAATTATGGGATTCATTATTGAGGTAGATACTACTTCCGACACCATTACATGTTTTTGAACCATCAGTATATATAAACGTATAGTCTTCAAACTTTTGTACGATCTCTCTAAACGTGCGTGCACACGTTTCGTTCTTTTTCAGTTCAGTTAACTCCAATATCACGTTATAACTTGACCCCGTATACCTACTTATTTTGAAAAGGGTAGATTATGCAACAAGCGTTTGTACTAAACATATTGTATCTAAATATCGAAAAATGCTTTTTTTTTGCACATAAGTCAAAAACAAAAGACTGTATGCCAGTTTAAAAAAATTAGTTTTAACACCATCGGGAATCATAAGGTAAGTTTAAAGAGTTCCCATTGCATTGAGCTAGTCGGTGCAAACCATATTTCGATAAATTTCAAAATAATCAGGTCAAATTTTGTAACTACCCGTTACTAATTTTGTGTGTATTACCTAAAAAGCAGAGATGCTTCGCTAAATGATTCGTGGGTTTGTTAATATGAGTGGCTCGCCACGGGCGGGCAGTATTAGCGCAATATTAAACGGCTAGGTGCCTATTGATTCGAAAGGGTTATTTATGTAAGGAAAGCATAATAAAGCTTTTATGGTGTACAGTATAATTTTTAGACCGAGGAGGAGTAGAAGGCCAAGACTCATGGTCATGACCCGCCATAAAAGCAAGTGTGCTTGAGGTGGTCACATAGCTTTATGCATCGATGAGGGTGTTTTAATAAAAAATTACAAAAAAAAACATCTTTCCACCTACATGTCCTTCGCTTAAGTATTTATAGCATGGGGGCAAATCGTCAACACGTATGCACTCGTAGATGTCAAATTGGACTGCCATCTGTTAAAATGAAGGAATTCGTGAAGCTTGTAGAACAGGTAGGGAATAGAAATACATTTTTTTTATACTTGAAATGAAGACTGCAAAATAAATTTATTCTTCATTAGAGATTTTGGCAATTGTAGCTAAATAGTGACAGTTTTTTATAGCGTACTTTTGTTCAGTAACGCATACTGCTATAAACGGTTCCATGAACATTAAAATGTCATCTAGAAATCTTATAATAGGTACATCCACGCATAAGATGCTTTATATGCATGGGAATTACTGATCGTGAGTGAGTACAGTTAAGGAATCCACTTCCAAATACTGTTAATGAACCATTCATGAGACCAAGGAAGTTTAGTGCGGTAGGTAGCCACGTTTTACTACTGCGCTAGTCAATAAATAAAATTACTATTTATTTTAGCTCTAAACTCGGCACTCTAAAGCTTTCCATTCGCATGTGACAACGTCTTTAATACTTCAACATGCTAAAATAAGAAGAATGTGGAACGTGAATGCGTTTATCACAATTTTAGTTACATTTCAATCTCTTTTTTTGCAATATGAAATATTCATAAGCGAATCGGGCTGTGAAATACAAAAATATAAGAAAAATCACATTTGTATGCTATAGCAGAGGGGAAATCTCTTTTTTTCCACTCGCGTAATACAGTAGAAAATATACTATTGAGGGAGTGAAGAGTGTGTAC